TGCCCCGTTCCCCCGTCCCCCCAGACCAAACTGTGCCGGAACACGCACTGCACCCGCATGCCGTCGACGACGAGCCAGTGGTCCACGTGCGAGTCTCTGGGCGTTTTGGAGGAATGGCCGTCAGACTTGAAGCGGTCGAAGCGAGTCGTGAGCTGGTCCGAAGAAACCAAAGTGAATGAACGTCGGCCAGATGGAGCCAAGTTGGTTGAGACCTGGTCAGGTGGAACGAAGTTGGCCGAGACCCGGCTAGGTGGAACCAGGGTAGGTGAGGCCAGGTCGGGCACAGTCGGACTAAGTGCGACCGGACTAGGCGCGACCGGACTAAGTAGTAGCCCCGATTGGGAAGCGCCACGTAGGTCGAGGGTGTCTTGTACGCCGTTGACGCCCTGGTCACTGCAAGACAAAGAGCTGAATTGCACGCGTGACCCTCCGCTAGGCAGTTTACGGCGCCAAGTTGACCTCGAAAAATTAATACAGATCCTCAACGAAGAAGAAAACCAACTCCAAGCCAAGCCGCTGCCACCCCGGCCGTCACTGTCTGCTGTATTTGCAGGACCCAGCCAACCCGTTAAGGGCATGGACCTCCACGTGCAACGCATGAGGCGCAAGGACCCAGACCCGCCACCGCAAACAGAACAGCCCAGTCTCTGGCAGTCGCTGTCGCGCAAGAAATGGCTAGAGTTGGCACCAATCCTCGACACGCATTCGGACAAATCATAGCCCAGGCAGCAACGGTAACTCACAATATGTCAGGTAAGTGTCCGACGTCCATTCTGTATGTATGTTTCCCTTCAATATGTTTCATTCATTACACATTCCTGTTCTACATCTTTCCTCTTTACCATCCGGATTTATTCCGGACCAAATACTTTATTCGCGTTTGTTCGCACACGTGTGTTATACCCCTCTTTTTCAACCCATCTTTACTAAGAACACCAATAGTACTACAAACTGAAAAAATCCTATGAACCTACTAGTAGGACAACCCGTTCTTAAGTCGCTTGCACGAAATAATCACCTGCATCAGTCGTCTTCGAAATCCATACCTGAATCCTGCTCATTGTATCCCTCAAATGCTGAGAATCTCACACGCAGAAGGACTGTTGGCTATTGATACATTTCAATAGCTCCTCCACCGTGGACACGTCTCCCCCGCACCAACGACTTAGACTGCCACCAGGGCCGTACATATCGCAAAATCCCTGGCAAATACTCGTCCAGCAGTCCTGGGTCGCAGTTATCTGCTGCACGCACTGCGACACCACGGATCCATTGCCTGCAGCTGTAGTTGCCTTGTTGGTGGTAGTATTCGGCGTAGTTGTGGCCTTGGTCTTACCAGTAGTTGTGGCCTTGGTCTTACCAGTAGTCGTGGCCTTGGTCTTACCAGTAGTCGCGGCCTTGGTCTTGGGTGTGGTTGTTGCCTTCGTTTTGCGAGCAGTCGTAGTTCTCGTGGTGGCCGTGGCTTTAGTCGTAGTAGCTGTGCCTCCATTGCAATCTACCCTCTTGAATGTTATGGGAGCGTTCTGAACCGCGCAGCTGATCGTCTTGTCGCCTGCGATGATTCCGTACTGACACTGCTCGGGCTTATAAGCACACACGCCGGTTCCGGCACACACGTAAGGACACAAGTTCAACCACGCAGTCTGTCCCATCTCGAACTTGGTTTCGGAACCATTTGTATCCAACGTCCGAATGTAGGTACTCTTCACTGTGCCATCATCGTACTTCATGTCCACCTTGTAACAGTTGCCACAGTTCTCTTTATTCACCTCCCAACCCGCATTAAACGTCGAGAGGCAAGGACGCTCAACAGAATCACCGCAAGGACCATCCATCTCCCAAGTCTCCACTTTGTGGTTGCAAGCACCGTAGTCCCCTTCGTAGTAAATGTGGCAACGACCTAAACAAGACTGCTCCAAGCCCATTGGATCAACACCAGACACACAGGTACCATCCATGAAGTCCGCAGAAGCGATCACAACCACAGCAGCCAATCTCATCACCTTGTCTTGCCTTAATTATCCCCCAGCAAACACCAGACCCCGACGTCTCGTCTCTTCCTCCAGATTCTAACCCCGAGGGCTGAATGGGCGGCTGTTAGAGGGCAGATGTGTCAAAAGGCAAACTCTATGGAAGACGACCGACGGATTCCGGTCGTAAACCCTAACACGGCCCCTGTGGGGTCGCATTCCGGCGTCTACCAGATCGCTTGGGCTACCCGCGGGCCTGGGTCACTACTCCGGTCTTGCAGGAGATTTCAATCAACTACAAGACCGGAATAGTGTCCTGCATAACTCCACATGGTTCATGCGCGCCGCCAAGATCGATATCGACCCCCAACATTCCCAACTACGGCAAGTGCTGGGGAGGATGTACAGCTGGGGCGACGCAGTCAATTACAGTAATAGAACAAGCCACCGACTTGCTTCGTCATCACCGTCTCTTGGCCCACTGCCAGCTATTGGCTACCTCACCGGCCGACAACAACGCGGTTCAACAACGTGCACATAGACTCCCCGTGGACTTCGCGCGTTGGCAGTACCGTCATCCGCGTCTTCGAGCAGTACCGTTGGTAGCTCTCAACTCGTTCGAGTATCTTCCTCTCGGTCCGGTATCACACTTCTCTTCGTGCCTCACGATCTGGTTAGTCCCACAACGACGGAGCACTGACCGAGCGTCTTACCGGAGATTCTCCCCGTGGCAACTAGTCCGTTCATTCGTCCGTGAGACGATTCGGTAATATGCTCGTCCACAACGGGCGGTGATGTCCATTCGGTACGACAAGTCTGTGTCTTTTTCGGAGCCACGACCTTCTTGCAGGAACTTCTGCGGGACCACGACCCGCCACCCGGGCTGTCTGGGTCCTGCTTGCCCCCCATCACACTCCTACCGTCGTGTAAATAAAAAATAAGTACGACCCATTACTGATGCACTCGACGGCGTTCCACACGACAGCTTTGTGTCAGAAGCCTTGTGCCTGCTCATTATGGATCTGGGCTAGAGGCCCGACAATTTCCTGTTAGAAAGACCGCGAAATGTGTGTGTCCGCGTCGTTCTGTCTACTCGGTCCTTGCCAAATCGATTTCACGTCATAAAGTTTAATTCGGAATGAAGGTTTCTGTTACGGTACATTCTGCTGCTGGGTTCCAGGGCCACACTGGTCTATTCAACAAGTCGGACTTGTACGTCGAATGCCACTACGGTACCTTCCACTCATGGCACACCAAGACTGCCAAGGACGCTGGCTCCAGCGCAGATTTCGAAGAGACCTGGACCTTTGATTCCAATGACAGCCACTCCGAAATTACAATTAAAGTGCGCGATGCCAGACATCTGAAGCTTGATGAGACTCTGGCGGAAGGCGCTTTCAAGTTTGAGCAGAGGCCTGGCTACTTCTACACTGGCGAAGTGGGGCTTGTTGACGAGAAACACGGCGATGAACCATCTGTTAGGTTGACTGTGAAGTGTGAGTAAACTGACTCGGAGCAAGCGGAGCTGTGGTGCGATAACACATT